TTTTCTGGCGCTCTAATTAACAGATAAAACATATTTTGGTATTTTTTAAATGTAATAAACTCTTTGATAGTTTCTAAAAAACTGTGTTTGATTATCGGAATTATATTTTGACTAAAATGAATAAAGAAATTTGAACAAAACTTTTATTCTCATTCATATAAAAAATTTATACGAAATTGATTTTGAAAATTAAAGAAAACTGTTTCTTTTAGATCAAAATAACTGTGCCTGAAAATAAAGGCAAACTTAAAATATATATAATATATATAAGTTCAAAATGAAGAATAAAACCAAAAAAATTATAGACATATGGAAAAAAAAGGGGGGGAATAATAAGTAAAAAAATAACAAACAACAGTTTATTTAAAAAAAAAAGGTTAATTAAAAAACCGGAAAAAAGATATAATCTTTTCTTCAGCCCACACGATTATATCCGAAAAACAGATATATATATATATATATAAAGAGTCCTAAATTAGACTGGTGGTTTTTAAAACTAGCAGGGAAACAGTTTTAGAAACATCTATTTAAGTTTGGTCATATATTAAAAAAAAAAAAGTGTCCTAAATTAGATGGTCAGTTTTAAGAAATTTATAACAGGGAAACAATGGAGGTAAACGAAACAATTGATGCTGTAGGGTAGTGTTTCCCAAACTTATGACTTTTGTGTACCCTTTCTAAATTTTTCGTAACGGTGTGTACCACCAATAAAAAAAATGAATGTATTTTTTACTATAAGAAAATTGCACAAAAGTTAAAAATCACAACTGGCTGTTGACAACAGTAATTAGTAACTGTTAACTCTGCAAAAATAGCTAATAGAAAAATACGTAATCGTAAATTCTCGTGGCTAGCTTTGTTTTTAAATAAAATTTTTTGAAATTTTCATTCGTTGTAAGATATTTTGCATAAGAACGCGTACCCCCACTAAGCTGTTTCTGTACCCCTGGGGGTACGCGCACCACACTTTGGGAAACACTGCTGTAGGGTATAAATTTCTCTTCTAGAGTTTCTGTTTGGAGTACAAAAATTCATTCAATGGATAGCACATCAAGTAGTAAACTTGGAAATCAAAGAGAAACAAATGAAAATCATATCACAATTTCTCAATTTTTTTCCCCTGTGAATGAAAACTACATTACAGTATGTTCCATCCCTTTTATAAAGTTTCTTCAATTGTCCTAAAAGCAGGGCAGAGATTTCTCCAGGAAAAATAAAAAATAGAAGCTAAAAATGACTAATACAATTTTAGCGATAATAATAATATAAAAAAGCTTTTAATTTAAAAAAATAAAATTAAGAAGAAAAAAATAAGTAAAATTAATAAATTTAAAAAAAATTAATAAACAAAAAAAAATTCATACATAAAAGAAAAGCAATTTCTCGTTCACATTTACTCTTTAAAATTAACTATTTTCCTTTTATTTATTTTAATATTATATTGATTCTTAAAATTTACAGAACTTGTCATCACACATAACTAATTATTATGTGTAACTATGAAAATATAGTTTGTTGTTTTGATTATGATTAGATAAGAGTAAACTGATGTTTTAAATTTTTATTATAGCATTTTAAATGCTATTTACATAATTATAAAATTAGGATTTACTATGCTCTTTTGAACTAAGCACTGAAAAAAAAAAGAGTCATTTTAATTTTTTTAGAAATTGAAGTGTTTCCTTACTTGCTTTATAATGTTCTCCTATTAAAAATAAAAAAGAAGTTTTAAATAGCTTTGATAGTATAATTAGATTGCAATCATAAGCTGATTTAAATCATTGTTAACATTTTATTTTATAAAAAGTGAGGTTTTTTTCCCCCACTGGATTAAATTGCCATCTTTGCCAAGAAGAAATATATTTTTTCTTGAAGAAATCTATATTCTACATTTAATTTAATCATATCACTTTACTCAGAAGAATTTCTTATTAGACATGTAGAGCAGGATCAATTGAAAACTAGACAAGATATTAATATAGACAGAACGAATTAACAGTGAATATATCTTCCAAAATATTAAAAGTTTAGAAATAAAAATCCTATTTTAGTCCATCAGAAAGGCAATGAGGGAAAAAGACTTCCAAAAAGAGGTGAAAATAGATATTTTAGAAGGAGGGAGGAAGACTAAATCTTTCAGCAAAAAATAAGCACCTTTTAAGTACTCTTTAAGAACTCAAAAGATAATTTTAAACAAAATGAAAAATAATTTTGAGACTTTACATGATCATAATAAAATAACTAGTTTCTGACAACGAACTCTTTTCTTGATTATATTAGTCGTTATAAAATGATCGAGAGATTTTTCGGTTCGATATCAGAGGGTGGAAAATGAAGCCTGAAATTGAGAATATCTTGCAAAATGCAGAGTTGCACATGAGAAAGCAATCATCTCACCGAACCCAGTTCAGTAGACGCACATTCAGACTCGCAAGTATTTCATCAAACATGTAAAATAACGGGCGCTTTCATACGCTATGGACCGGCGGTACGCCTATATAGATTGTGGTTAAATAAATTGTGAAAACGTTGAATAGAACAATGTGAAAGGCAGGCTTTAGCATAAAACATGACGAAAATAGACATGGTATAAAAAATATCATTTTGGAAAGATAAAATTAAGCACTTTTTAAAAACATCTAATTAAAAAAGCACCTTCAAGGTATTTTAAAAAAATTAAAATCGAAAATAAGCACCTTTAAGCACTTTTTAAAAACACTATGCACCATGACCTAGGAGAGAAGATTACTCCAGATGAAACTGTAATCCTCTCCTCAAAGAGGAATTTGGTGGAAGAAAGAAAAGTTGCTTTTCTCCCTTACTCAAAGGTTGAAAGTGACTTACGTTTGGAAGGCAATGTTACCAAAAGTAATAAAGATTTTTAAAAAATTGACTCACACTTTCATGGATTGAAAAATTAATAGCATTTCTTTTTTAATTGGTCATTACGATTCTTAAATAAGAAAAATCGATTCAAAGTAGGATAAGCCCGTCACTGACTTTGCATGTTAAAGGCAGCTTAGTGCAACACTTTTAGCTTTCTGCTTAGTGCAACACTTTTCTTATCTAGGGCATATAACTTTTCCTCAAATAATTATAAATCAACTAGTCATCTTTCTCTGCCAATGGACTCCCAAAACAGAGAAACAGCAGTTTTTTTTTTTTTTTTTCAATATCAAAAGTACTGAAAACAAATATAATACAAAATCAAATGCAGTTTTACTAATCTAAAATATTTGTAAAACAGACAAATAGTTTATATTAGAATTAATGAATAAATTTTAAAAAGTAGCAGTTTGGAAGGAAGTGATGAAACTTACTCTGTTACACGACAATAAACATCGAATGTGAACCGACCAATGGCAAAATAGACAAGTTAAAATTTGAATAAAACCTATCACTGCCAAAATTATCAAGCCGGCTTCATAATACTCCGAAACACCATACTGAAAAACGAACATATAAAACCATAAGAAATACAGAATGATGAAAGGAAGTATGTATCCATGTAAAATAAGTGATCTTGAGCTATACAAAGTGACATTATCAACTAAATCATCGATTCCATATGTCTTCGCCATCTTAAAAACACATCAACAAAACCTTTAAAGGTTTGTATGACAGTTTGTAAATGTTTGTAGACTGATTTGTTATTAGTTTATAGCTTTTATATCAAACAACGTATAGCTAGCAAAGCAATCTAGCTAAATAGTTAGGTCAAAGCGAAAACTGCATTTAATTCTTTTTAAAGACAAGAGAGGGTAAAAGATCCTGTATCTGGTCGACCAATACAAACAGAAATAAACAAACGTGGGAGAATGGATCGTGATTACTCGAGTATAAAGATCTTGGAAAAAACAGTTCAACTGGCTCTTCCTATAACTTTTATCTCAAATGAGTTTTCAGGTGTTTTAGAGACACTCGAAACCTGGAAAAGACAATACAATCCTCAATTAGAAGGTATTTTAGTCAACTACAGCAACGTGTATTTGATGTCTCGCGCAAATAAAGTCATCATATCCAGAAATGTTATCATTATTGATGTTAAAGCTATGTTTCACATATTCTGCCCTAAAGTGGGTGATGTTGTAAAAGGAAAAGTCAATCGCATCACTCCGGAACTTGTCGGTTGTATTATGCATGACACTATCAATGCTACTATCTATCTCTCTAATTACTGTCCAGTTGAGGCGAAAAAATTCATTCGAATAGAACGTGAAATTTTATTCGAGATAACTCATTTTAGTTGTTTTCGTAATGAAGTTCGAGTACAGGGGAAAATAACGCCTGATTGTCTTCGACTGATGACTGAGCTATTTACTGATGTTGAAGAAGAGGTGCTGACTAACTTTTCGTTTCAAAATGAAAACACGATCACTAATTATAATTTTTCTAATGAGATTGAAGAGTGTCAAGTGTTTAAAAGTGAAATTTCTACAATTGATATTGACGAATCACCTGCAGAACTTAAAGAAGAACCAAACTCTGAACCTGTGCATAAAAAGTCTAAAAAGCGCAAACTAGATACAATAAGTGATGAACCCAGTAAAAAGAAACGTAAAAAAGATGCCTCTTCAGAGTTTAATATTGTGAACGGAGCTTCTGCAATATCTGAAGATGTACCAGTTCTTAAAAATGAAGCTGGAACCGATGATGAGTCAAATCTTAATAATGTACAACCCATCCTCAAAAGACATAAAAAACAGAAACTGTCAAAAGATGAGCAGCGAAATAAAAAGCCAAAGAAAGAGAAGAAATCTAAAAAAAGCAAAATTATAGCTACCGGAACTGTTGTTAAATCAGATAAGAAAAAGCCAAAGAAAGAGAAGAAATCTAAAAAAAGCAAAATTATAGCTACCGGAACTGTTGTTAAATCAGATAAGAATAAGTTAAATAAAAAGCATTCCAAAAAAGACAAACATAATATAACAGATAAAAAGTTAAAAACTAAGAAAGGACACAAAAAAGCAAAGAAAAAGAAACTGTCAGATAAATTATTAGATACTAATGTACAAATAAAATCTGAATGAAGAATGTTATTTTGTATTTTTAAGTAAATAATAGTTATTTTGCTCATTACCTATATTATTTCAAACATTGGAGGGTGACTATTTTAAGAAATTTATTGAATTTTCACACTTTTTAATTTACGGAAAGATATCTTGTATTTACTTTTACCAAGTTAGCACTTCTTTTTACCTATTGTTTTTCTTGCCATTTAACCACGTTTTCTTATTTAATGGGAAAGTTACGTATTACAAAGAGATTTCTAAACTCTTTTTCTATTTATCTTATTATTTCTATTTATCTCTTTTTCTATTAACTTATTTATCTATTTCAGGTAGAGCCTTGTGTTGTCTTTTAACATGATTAATTTTAGTTTTAAATATTAATAAATATAGGAAGATAAAAAAATTTTCAGTCCTGTTCTCTGTGAATTTCTGCAATAGCTCGCAGCCTTTCTCATAGTGTATAATTATTTTGTTTTGAAAATTTAGCTTATAGTATTGTATTGAAATATAATTTCTTATAAATTTGCATTAGAAAAGAATAAAATAAGAAGAAAACTAGAAGAAAAAATTTCATCACCCAAAGAGGAGATCATAGTTTTAAAATTCTGAAGTTGGGTTTTTGACATGATGCTTTAAAAACCTGTTAAAAAGTGTCAAAAACTGTTGAAATACATCAAAAACTTAGAACAAGTTTCTTTTTTGACATTGAAGACATTTTATTAGATACTAAATCATGCGCAATACTTGCATTGTGCACAGTACTATACTTCTTTAATTATGATTTATACTATATTATATATAAAATTTTAAAAAAATTTCAGAAATTATTGAAACTATCAATTAGTTTTTCTAATGGTAATCTTAATATTTTTAGACCCATATTATAATTATTTGGCTTTTGTTACAGGTAATAACTATGAGTTGTTAAGTATTATCAATCTAAATATTGATTTTAATTCTTTTGTGCTACAATTTAGGCAGATTTTTTAGATGAAGTGAAATTAAAGTGTTCAGTTTGATCTTAACCTATAATTTTTTTTTATTGATTCTCAACATTTGTCATTAATTATATTTAAGGGAGCAAAATATGTTTGACCATGTGAACAATGATTTGGAAGAAATTCAAGCAGCTATGGGAAAAGTTTTGGTTTAAAAAAAATCCTAAAAATTTTTTATTGTTAAAAAGTTTGTTGCCTTGCAAAACTTTTTTTTTTTTTGTTAAAAAACATGTCAATTTGTGTATCTATTAGTTTGAATTTCTTAAATTAATAAGTGGGATCTTAAATTTAATGCAATAAATTATTATTATTTCAATATATTTTGATTTCTGTTATTTTATGACACATATGCTGTTTATTCAAGAATTGTATAAAATCAAGAGAATTGTTCTCTTTTATAAACTTTATTTTCTAAAAACATTTTGAAAAAGCTATTATACTGAAAAAAAAGCTACAATTTTTGGGGAAATTTTGATCAAAAAAGAAACATTCCTTTGAGGAAATATTAGACTCCTGCACTCTTACTTTTATATACTATATGAATATTATCCAATATATTAATGTATAATTAGATTACTGATTCGTGAACTAATTATAATTTATAAGAAATATAAATGTTTGTTTAAGTAAGTTAATAATTTTTTAAATCAATCAATTCAAAGATTTAATTAAATTACTATTGATATTTAGTACCATTATTACAATAAATTTCCTAGTTACGTATCGTATTGTTGTGTTATAATAGCTATAGTACATCTACTTTCTGGACTAAATTGTTTTGAATTTTGGTCTTATTCATCGAAAACTAAAGAAATGAAATGAACGAGTTCAGGTAGCTTCAAAACTTTTTTTTTTGTAATTGCATGTTTCTGCGAAAGGAGGAGTTAAAATGGAAGAAAATGAAAATTCATTTTATAAATAATGAATGCTGAGTGTTTTTTTTTAAATTATTATTATTAAGCTTATTGTTTTTGTATTTTTATTTTCAATAATTTAACAGATGCAATGAATTTCAATTTTACTAATTTTTATTTATAATTATTTAATATTTTCCTACCAAAATTTGGGTTTTTTACCGTAATTGACAAAACAAAAAGGTAGGTACAGTACATTATTTACGTCGCACTAGAGCTGCACTGTGGGCTATTGGCGACAGTCTGGGAAACATCCATGAGGATGATCTGAAGACATGCTCTCCCAATTTCGATCCTCTGCAGAGGGAGTTGGTCTCCTTTGGCCTAACGACCTGTGCACGAGGTCGAGCACTTTTATTTATAAATACTTCTTCTTCTTGTATACAATAGCTAATAATTATCCTTACAGGGGTGCATGACCTTTTTGAGAGAAGGGCCACTTGCATAGCAGATTGACAAAGGAAAGGAGGCAGACATATTTAGTCATGTTGGCGGCAATTATGATAACTTTTTATCTTAAAATTGGTGTTCTAAACACTAAATATTTTAATCAGTAAACATAACATATTTTCAGAAAATTAAATACTTTTAATTATTAGAATTTATTCAATAATAAAAATTTAAAGGTTTTTTTTTTGCTTTTTATCAGTAATTGATTTATCTATATATATATTTGGGGGAAAAGTACATACCGTATATTCCGGCGCATAACGCGCCCCGTCGTATAACGCGCCCCGTCGTATAACGCACACCCGTAATTTCTAATTACTTTTTTTAAATTTTAAGATATACTCTTCGTATAACGCGCACGAAAATTTGGATTGTACATGTGCGATATCTCATCTTTCAAGATCGTAAATAAAAAGTATTTTTCCCTATCTTTTGCAAAAATAAAAGAACTGAATTTGACATGTATGTGAGGGTAGAATTGAAAGAGCAATAATGGGATTCTGGATGGACAAAAATGGTGCTAAATTGTGGGTAAAAAACATCTGGCAAATCCGTCCTGGCTGCATAAGAAAACCAGAAAGCCTTTTAGAGTGGGACATGTTTAGGTCCCACCTTACAGATAATACAAAAAAATTTTAATAATTGTAATTGATAGCGGAAGACGAATATAATGAACTATTTATGTAATAACGAAAATCAATGAAGTATATAGGTAAAGGTATGTTATTTCTTTAAAATAAAAGTATTTTTCTATATTTAAATTTTGTTAATCTATAATTTTTTATATTCGGCGTATACCGCGCACCCGTTAATTCCAATGTTATTTTTTGTATTAAAAGTGCGCGTTATACGGCGGAATATACGGTACATATTTTAATGAGTAATATACATTTGAACTAAATATTTTAATTAAAGATAATTTATAGGGTTTAAGCAAAAACTGAAAAATAAAACGAAACTATTATTTTATAATACATATTAAGATACAATATTCATTTGGTATTATGCCGGCCGAGTGGTTAGCGTGCCTGACTGCGAAGCTGATGACCGCGGGTTCGAATCCCACTCTGGGCATGGATGTTTCTCTCTCTTGTGTTGTCCTATGTTGTGTGTGATGAATGAATGTGGCCCACCCTATCAACGGGTTTGTGGCGTGGGCAATGTTACTCACCTCCGTGACTTTGGTTCACAGGTGCTCAATGGGTAACGCAAAAGGAGTAACAACTCTGGCATCTTCCAAGGCGACACGAATAGTTCAGTGCTGCTATTCGAAAATATATGTATATATATTTGGTATTATACTATATTATTGCTATTTCTTGCCTATTATTTGAATTATTAGATGTTTAATAAATTTTAAATAGAAAAAGGTTTTTTTTTCCCCCCTAAAACAAATCATATAAGCTGCAAGAAATTTTAAACAAAATTACAAACATCAAGTAGCTTGAAAATTCGTATTTTCCTCCACTTATCGATTTCTCCATGTTGCAATAACATGGTATTAAAATATTGGAATTCTTAATTGTACCATGTACAAATGCTTAGCGCTAACCGTCGATGAAACGACGTAAAAATAACTTATTTTACAATGTAATATGCATTTATTAATAAAGAGTATCAAAAAGTGATTATTTAAATGGGCAATTAGAAATTCACGTGTCATAGTAACATCATAGTTAAAATAACGGATTGGAAATAACCGGGGGGAAATTGCTTATATGTATTAACAATAAAATCAGCACGAATAAAGCTCATTATTTAAATGCTTGATTTAAAATTCGCAAGTCGTAATAAAATTCGGAATTTTTGAAATTTCTGTTCCTGTATCATGTATTTAAGACATTTCTGTTAGTCAGAAATAAAATTCTCAAGTAAAATATCAGTGAAAAGCCATTTTAAAATAGCTGTTTGTCACCAGAATTCATAAGATCCTGTATTTAAGATAATCCTTGACAAAATCTGTCCAGTGAATTTTGTCGCAGTTTCAAAACTTAGAATTATAAAATGAAGTATGAACCAATATTCTCAAAATATATATCTATATATTTTCCTATTTATAGAGAAGGTTGGCATTACATTTTGTTTAATTTCTGATATTTCAAATAACATTTTGACTTTTTCAAACAATCCTATTCAAAAACAGCATTAATGACATGATTGGACTTTTGATACTTAGTACACTACATATTATTAAACTGTTATTGTTATATATGTTATTATTATTATATATTTAAGTTAACTTTTTGACCTTTTAATGGATTCTATTCGTGAACAGCATAAATTGGATTTTTGATTTGCGTGTTAATATGACAACGTACATAGTACATAAATATGACATTACCGCAATTAATGAGATGTTTAAAAATAACAACGATTCTATTTGTTTTTAAAATTTTATTACCGGCGAAGTTTAAGACTTCTAATCTTCAATTCTGTGGCCTTGTTATTTTGAACCCAACCTATAAAACAAGGGAAATCCTGAATCAAGCATTGGGACAAACTAGCCTGCATGGAGGACTTTTTGATGGAACTAACCCACATTAGCGTAACATAGAGCAAGAAACCACAAAAGCCTCCCAATGGTTAGCTGACCACAAGGGGATTTTAAACCATGATCCATCTACTGCTCTGGATACTTTACGTCAGCACTGTGATCTCTTCAAGCCGGAAGCAGAATTCGTATAAACCAACCGGCCACAGCT